AGTATTGTACAGATGTTTGCGGATTAACTTTTGAAGACGGAATGTGCGCAGATGTTTGTCTCAACGTGGGGTTGCGTCGAAACCCACCTTGAAAACAATGATCGAGGAAATTCATCCGAATGATATGGAGTACCCTGTGTTGCAACTCATCATCTCATCATTACCGTTTCAACTCACAGAAGCTATCGTATTAAGATATACGAGAGAGGAGAGAGAAAGCTCACCTTAGACGCAGGGGCAAGTTGATGTCCGTCAAATGCTGACTGCCCAATGGGCAGTGCCCATTGCTCGGTAAAGCCTCTGTAGTAGAAAAGTCACCTCTGTAGTAAAAGTGACTCGACAGGTCCAGTAGAGCCTCGCTGGCCTGCCTCACTGGTGTGCCATAATCTAATATTATTCCAGTCGCTCTGCTGGCCAGAGTTCCCCTTTGTCCCTGATTGATATCGCCTGGGGCAACCTCCTTAATGAGTCGATAAAATACAGATGGAGGTCAATCTCTGACAAAATCTCAATCACTGTCGATTTCAGCTGTCGTTGAGCTGCACTGTATCGAGCCTCCACCTCAGACACTTGGTTTTCCAACGCTGACACTCTACCTTCCGCACGAGTCAGCAAGAATGATTCATTCCTTTCGGTCCGCACTTCCGGAGTCCGGGAACGAGTGGGGCTGTCATAGGCAGTGTGATGAGACTTCATTGGACCACCCTGATATGCCTTCCCATTGGTGTTCTTGATAGTTTCTGCTTGGATGAGACGCTCCATCGATGGAGACATCCCTGACCTCTGTCCAACCGTATATGCTGCTCCACCAGACATGGCAGTACAATCGGTAAACCAGAGATAAGACGAGATAAGGGTAGGAATCATTCCCAGGGATTGGGTTAAGACGTGACCAAACGCAACGTTGAGCTCGCATTACCAGTTAACGCGGATGATTAATGAGGGCGTGAGAAAAACTATATCAGGCTTCGAACGCTCGATGATGGGAGCGAGATTCTCCAGCGTTGGCGGTTGTCTTTACTGTGCTGAGCTGTTCAGTCTGAACACCATGGGGCCGATACGATGGCTGAATATACAACTATGTGTCGGCCCATGAATATTTCAGCTGAGGCACTCTCAAGCTACACCAGTAATACGTGTGGAACAGTTATGCGCAAGTGTTAACACGCGTTAAAGCATGGGGGATGATTTGAAAACCAAGATTGCAGCTTGGTGGAACTCTCGGCCAGTTCAATGAGAAACATAGTAGGACTCTCATTCGGTAAGGGAAACGAGGAGCTCCCTTCACTAATACGGTCAACTAGTGCTGAAATTGAAGTTCTTATTATTGTCCTTGTCGAAATTGAAGTTCCTAAAAGAGTCTATTTTATTCTATTTTACCCGCCCGTCCAAATAGGAATTACGATTTTTGAAACAGGCGCTGAAAAAGTGTATGAGCTATGGAGACTCGATCCGTTATGGCACAAGATGAACATAATTCGATAATATTTGGACGCACTGGTGCAACACAACAATGAAAGATGGGAGGGTCAATGAATGATTGAAAAACAAGACTAATGACTGATTGCTGTGTGGAGTAATCAGTTCGCGCATGTGCCATACGCATCCCTATAGTCTATTTTATTTCACTCTCGAAGAGTGTTTCTACTTGACTTCACTAATACCTATCTTATTATTCTTCCAATCATACAAAAAATAACGTCCAATGAGGCTAGGGAGTCCAATAGCCCATAGAGGATAATCAGTCACATTAAGAAGTACGCGACAATAAGCTCGCCCTTGAGCATCCGTTCTAATATCCACATATGCATCAGAGGGGATCTTCACCTTGACGTCCGAACCATCTAGACCCTTTAGAAGAAATTCTATCGGTGGAAGGTGTTGTCGTTGATTACAATTGACGATAAGCTTAGAACCCCTTTGGGTAATCGTCACCTTACTGCCTGATCGAGCCTCAAGATCTTTAATGAGGGTAGGAAGAGTATACCTGTGCATAGGTATGAATA